AGTTGAGGCTTGAAAATTCCAGTCTAAATCCGAGTGCTGCTCTCAAAGTGATGTGCAGCATCAGGAACCAGAAAAATCCCAAGCACGTGTAAATAGGAATTTCACGTACAAAAGGCTACTTTCCCCTTGGTCTACAAACATCGCTATTTCTAAGGCCTGCCCTAAACCATCCGATGGGGCTCCATTTGTTATGGGACAAAGCCAAAATCCTGAGCATGTCCCACCAGGGCTTTCCCAGTCTGGCCCCATGATTTCTATGGCATCGTCTCTTACTGCTGCCCTCTCATCCCGTTCTCAGCACTCTTACATCTTGCTCTAGCTCTCATTCCTCGGGGCCTGGGCACACCAATTCTCACTGCCTAGGAGCTTTTCGTTCATTCTTCTCCAGGCAAGCCCCGCTGATTCCGTAATACCCAGTTTAACTGGAAACCATCAGCCACACTTTCCCAGATTCTCCAAGCAGAGATGGGCGCTGCCTAATCTGTGACCCCACAGAACCCTGCACATACGTATTTTTTCATAGCACTTACCACATTATATTTTAATTACTTGTTTACACAGTCCCTTCCCCAAGATTGAGTGGCTCATAAGATACGAAGGGTAGAAGAAGTGAAATAGGAGGTGGGTGTCAATATCAGAGACGGCCTGGGAACAGCGCACCCAGAAGCATATTCAATTTTAAATTTGGTAAAGGACAAAAAGTACATATTGTTTTCAGTTTGTAATACCAAGTTCAGAAAGTTCAGCTCATCAAAATCTTGGATGAACAGGACATCTGAAAGCTTCTTCCCTGGAGAGCAAGGGCTAGATCTTTATGTCTATTTTAAGGCACCCTGAGGTAAACTGAGGCCAAAGACCAAGTGTTATGCATTGCACATTCCTGATATATACTAGGTACTACGATGCTAATTGAATAAAAATTTAAAACATTAAACAAAAATAATTTAGATACCATCTTGATGAAACACGTTATTTTTCTGAAAATGTATAATAGGTTCTGAATAGTTTTATTTGAGTATAAAGATAGTTACTCAAGCTTTCTCAAGAGCTTAAATAAGATCTCTATACATAAAAAATTGTAGAAACACAAATATTTTTAAAGTTCCTATATAAAAAGTAAAGACACTTAATTATTATATGACATATCTCCCATGATCCACGACCCCCACACAACACAGTTAGGGCTTTGAACTCTTATGCTCCTTCTGTTCATCCAAAACCAGAAGTTGGCTATAAATAGCATATTTCTTTACAGTTTTAGCCTTGATGGGTTTGTGTCACTTAGGCAAATCAGAAACCTTGTAAAAATTTTTGTTCTAGGTCACTTTGTTTTTGATATTTGAAAGACCTGCTGATATCTGAAAGATTTCAGAGGGACATGCTTACACCACAACAAACTCAGATGGTGCTGTCTGGAAACGCTAAAATTCTCTCCCACATCCCTGGGTTTACAAAGAAGAACAACTAACTCACCCATAACTGTTGTTCTCTTAGCTGGGGCTTTTAGTCTAGTATTAACTACCATCTAGCAAGTAGTTAAATAATAGTATAGTGACTCTCAAGGAAAATGAAAATGCATTAATAGAAAAAAACTAGTTAATCGTGGAGGAAATAATGCATTTGACTTTCTATACCAACGGTACTTGTGTTATGGAGACTTCTTTATCCTCTAATACAACTATGCTTCTATCATGGGTAGCTGGTAGCAAGAGTTCAAACCAGTCATTTCTCAGGAATTCACTCCTGAGAACATGTATAATTAAGTGACGAAATGCCTGCTGTGTACATTCATCAATACACTTTGGGTGTATATGTGAACAAAACAGATAAAAATTCCCAGCCTTCATGGAGTTTACACTCTAGTGAGAGGGACAGACAGTGCCCCTAACAATGAACCTAAAAAGTTACACTGTAAAGGACATCCAAGAACCTTTCATTGTGAAATGAGGTTTTAATGCTGTAACACCAGTGGCCTAGTCCTTGTGGACACAAGACCTGTCACTTAACACTGGCGCATCACCGTGAGAGTCAAACAACTAATCTGAAATAAGTTTGATAATAGGAACCATGCTTCTGCAAATAATTGTATTTCATATTTTCTCTTTGAACTGGTGTCCCATGAGGCCCATTCTCTAACTCGGAGCCTTCACTGCCCTGCTCCTCCACTGGAATGGAATGCCTTCTCTGAAAGCCAGCCAAACAAGGATTCAGTCAAATGCTACACTGAGTGCTGGAGATACAAAGTTGCTTAACACACACTCTTTACCCCTAATGAGTCCAATAGGAAAAAGACAAAGGGTGTTCAAGGCCTAGGAGTGTGTGGCTGAAGTCTGCAAATGCTGGGTGCGCCCGGAGGGGATGATTACCTGTGTCTGAGTAAGGCCCCTGGGAGTGCCTGTGCCAACGGGAGGATGGGGAAGTGTGTGAAGGCAGGAAGGTCCAGGGGCTCACACGGGCCAGGAAGCGGATGCACTGGGGAGAGCAGCCGGCGAGGCGGGGATGCTCAGAAGCTCCATTCCGGAATAGCAGAGGCTATGTCTGCACAGACACCATTACTGGGAGCTACATCCCTCATGAGAGGAAATGGAAAGCAAAAGGGGAGGTGGCTTCTGAGCAGGCTTGAGCTAGAGCACTGGGCACACTAAGAGTGGTGACTGGACCTCCAGGCAGAGGTTAAGTAAGAGGGCAAATGGCAAAAGCAAAGAGACCGAGCAGCAAAGGAGGAGAGCGCTAATGATGGGGACCAAACCCAAACTGTGCGTGTGTCCTCGTGGCAGACCTCTCCACTATCCACTGGACATGTCGCCAACCAGGCATCCACGGTCAACAGTGGACTCATTCATGTGCTAGTGTCAACCCGGCAAATGTCCCCAAACCAAGCACAGAGGAAGTGTTGGTGTGTGTGCCCTTTATATGTACACAAGCTGGATAAGATAAAGTGAAATTTCCACCACCCCCTGTGTTAAATACCCATGAAATGCATGTCCCAGAATTCGTGCAGGACTCTGTTTGTCACCACAGTCACTCTCCTCTGGCACTAGAACGTCACTAGTAAGAAGACACTGCGCCATGGGGTCGCCCTGTGGGTTATATGCAGCATCCTGTGATCATCCATCTCCCCAGCCAGTCTCAGAAACTCCTCAAAAGCAGGACTTGCTAACAGTAGCCACTCAATTAAGGGCTGACAAACCAATGAATGAATGAACCCACCAAAATTTTTGCCCCTACTTCCAAGCTAGTGTAACAGATAGAAAACACACCAGCTGCTGCTGTTTTTCAGTCTACATGATGTCATCATGAAGGCTATTCCACGAGCTTCTCACAAACACAAAGTCCATGGCCCTCCATACAGAAACAAAATCAAAAGCTAGAACCAGAGGAGAGCAGTTTTTACATTTTAATTTAAATAAATAGTTTTCCACTCTCAGAAATTTGCTGAGTGAATGTGATAGTGCTGGTTCAGTCATCTTCCCACCTACACACACACACACACACACACACACACACACACCAGCTCGAAAAAAGAAAACACCAGAACCCAAACAATTCAAGGGGAAAAAGAGATCTTTCTGGAAAACTTCAAGAACTTCATTTAAACCCTCATCTCCTCTAAATGACCACATAAACACTCAGTGTCTTAGCCACGACTGAAATAAAACATTAAGCAAAACCTGAGGAGAAAATTGTCTTTAAAAAGAAAAAAGAAAAAAAAAAACCATCGCTGTTAAATCAAAAAGTGCATCATCACATCTATCCGAGTCCAACTCCCAGGGCAGGGAAGCCAGGGGCCCGGCTAAGAGGCGAGCTGGAGAACAGCCACCCACAGTGCCCGGGGCCTCCCTCCTAAGGCCTTTCCAGCAGTTGCCCTCTAGTGCCCAAATTACAGATGCCATGCTTGGTGAAGAAGAGAGTTGATTTCGCTGATGAAAAATAATAATAATATTTGTGTAGAGAAGCACAAAGAGAGCAGTCCGAATGACAGTTACTGAGCAAAGGTACCTCAAAAGTCAGCCCATCTTCCCCTTGTGGCGTGAGGGTGTGTGTTTGAGGGGCCGGGCAGGGGTTTGGGATCTTTCCTTGGTGAAGAGAAGAAGAAAGTGCAGAGACTAATACACCAGAGAACTGCTCTCTCTGGAATTCATAGAGGGTCTGGCCTTTTATCCCCAGGCCCAAGCCCGAGATTGGGGACCCGGGTTTTGTCAGGGGCGCCTCTCTGCTGCCCTGCCCTGGGCTGCTCCACACGAGCAGAGAGAGACAGGAGGCAGGCCCCTCCGACACCTACTTAACTGCGGCAGATGGAGAGGAGAGCGTGTGGGATGCCTTTACTTCCCACTCAGGAGGCGCCCAGCGGGAGCCCGCAGAGACCACAGCTCCGAAATCAGATTTCCACACGTCCTCCCAGCCCAGAACCCGCCCTGCCCCTCCGGCAGGAGGAAACAGAGCATTAAGCAAGTGTGGCTCTGGTGTGTGAGGGGGTTCAGAAGACCGAAAGGGGCCTTCCTACAGGAGTCTGCCCTTGTTCAGACCTCTGCAGAGGCAGCCATGTTGGAAACGGCTCCTCACTTGCTCACTGACCCGCAGGGGGCAAGGGTGTTACTTTGAGGGGGACACAATCAGCGTCTGCAAGACGTCCTGAGCTACAGACACAGTTTATTAATAATCTTACATACACAAAATGTCCAGGGGAAAGCCTAACAGGCTAATTCCTGACAGCTCCAGATAACAGCAGGAGGGACGGAAGCCATGCTGACTCTCAGCTTCACATACTCCACAGAAGGAACGGTCCTCTTCCCACCCGAGGGATGTGAGACAAATAAATAAATACAATTATCTGCAGAACTTAAAGTGTAAAGACAACCCTGTGAAGTCCTTCTCCCCAAGTGCACTGACTTGTGGGAAACAGATAGGAAAATAAAGAGAACAGCTGGAAAGTTTAATTACAGAAGGACAACGCCATTGTCTCACAGACGTAGCCAATGGCCAAGGGCCTTCTCTCTTACCTTAAGATACAGAAGCAGCTCTTGGCTCCTGAAGATAAGCGGCAGAACCCGAATCTCTGCTTGCTGTCAATGTCAGTGAGCACGAACGTGAAGTTCTGGCCAACTTGGCTCACTGTGAGGCTGCAGCCGAGACAGAACAAAGGGGAAAATGAATGTGCAGTAAGTTTCTTGATAGAGTATCTAATCACGACAAGTCGTTGAACCTCTAACATTTCCTTTCTCAGTGGAACTCTTTATAAATGAGCTTAAAATTTACACACTTCAAGGGAACAGACTGTGAGCTAGTTAAAAAAAAAAAAAGGCAGAAAGTAGCGCGTTTTAGGGACCACCTCATCGGAGCTGCCCTACCTTCTACTTACTGAGTTCAGGCAGGTAGCCCTGTGAATCATACCATGAGATTCTGAAAGGTGCATTCTAGTGACCTCATTTTATAGGTGAGCAAATAGCCTCAGGTGGCACTGCCTAAGGTGCCAACTGGTAAATGGCAAAACACTGAATGCACTTGAAACCTAGGCCTAGCTAACACCAAGGCCCATCTGCTCGCTGTTGACTGGTCATGAACTTGCTCACTTGATCATTCCTCAAGTTCAGAAAATCACAGCGCCTGCAACAGGAGAATTTAAGTTTCTGCTATGTGTCAGCCACGAAGGGACACACTTGATGTAAACCACGTAATTTAACTCCCAGCAACAGCGCTGGAACTTAAATGTTCCCATTTCACAGAAAAGGAAACTAAAGGACTGAATCAAGTTCACATGGCTATTAAGAGGAGGAGCTAAAATTCAAAAGAGGGCAGGTTTATTACTTTCCAAAACTCCTGGATCTCTCAAAATTTCTGAACTTATGAGGAACATACTTTAAATTGTACAGGAGAGAAATACTAAATGTCTTAACAATGCAAGAGACTTCCTAAGAAATGGAAACAAGGTTTTAAAGACATTAAAGAAAAAACACTGAAAACTACAATAACACAAAAATCAGGAAACCACACATAAAAGCAACAAAAAATAGAAAATATCTGTTTCAAAAAAGTTAAAAGCATATTAATAATCAGACCAATCTAGAACCTTTTTAAAAGATATAAAATGTTTTAAAATTCACTTCTAAAAATCAGTTTGTCAGTTAGCTGGGGATCCTCTTTAAAAACTGAAATATTCCAAATTCTTACGCATAAATTTATACTAACATAATATTTTAGAATTGTTCAAAGGAACTCATAAACTCGCACATTTTACATATGTTGTATTTTACAAAATATATTCAAATTGATTATATTCAGATTGATGCTCTCACCTATAATTTACTTCATAAATTGTCAGTGGAAATAAAAAATCATGGTTCACCAGACCTTTTCCAATGGTAGGCTTCTTGAGTCTTTGCATACAATATGAATTAAATTTTCAAACATGGATAGCCTTTCTTTCTAAAACTCTCTTCCATGAGCCACATGAGAAAATTAAACAGACTTTTGAGGTACCCCAGCACAAAAGGTCAATGGACCCTACCTGGTCTTATTTAAGGAAACAATTCCATCCCTTGGAGAGTGGTTAGGGAGTACAAGAACATAATTTAGAAAGAAAAGAAAGTGTTCTACTCTCCTTTTTTAACTAGGAAGGTGAACGAAAACAAGGTGGCAATTTAAAAGCAACATGGTAATAAAACAGGTGTAAGTAATGCTATCCCTCCACCTTACACAAGCCAGGAGAAGGAACCGGTTCTATAAAAGTTATAGAGCTGTCAAGGGGACACCAAACGCTACCTTCTTGTGGTTGTTATGTTTTATCTATAAAGCTTGGATACTGTGTTACTATGGTGATTTAATACTATGTTTTAAAGGGGGATTATATGATTAATTTTAACAAGGTTGAGAACTGAAGATGTGTGAGAAACAGGATTCTAGCTCATATAATTAAAGTGATTGGGGAAAAAAGTGGGCCTTGTTGGGGGAGGAGAAAAACCTGTATTATTAAAATATCTAAGGCAACAGGTCGGGATGCTTCTAAGTTACAAATAAGGTCATGCTTTTGCAAAATACTATTATGTGATCACACAAAACATGACTGTTCATTATTTTAACTCAGGGTTTGATTTTACTTCTAAACTGATGAAAATGAAGCCTCCTAAAAGGAATGGATATTGATAGAACTGGATAAAAAGAAAACACCCAGGATCTCTAGGAAAAGGACACAAAACAAGTACAACTTGGCCTGTGAATTGAGTATCATTAATTTCCCTATTACCTTTTCACTACCATTAAAAATGCTGAAAATGCTTTTAGCTACATCGTAGGCTCAAAGAAAGATTCATTACTCATTTATTTGGTTCAACTCCCAACTCAATCACTGGCTACCTAGGCCTTAATTTAGCAAGTTACTTAACCTCTAAGCACCTCAGCTTCTTCACCTGGAATAACAATGAGAAATTGCTGCCCAGCCCAAAGGATGTTTGGGGAATAAGTGAGATAAGCATTTAGTACAAAGGCCAGTCTATAGTGAGGACAATTAATAAAAACGATGCGAGCTGGTAAGTTACCATCTGAAGGAAAACTAAAATTCGTATTAAAATCATGCACTTGCTTAGAGTCTTCCTGACTGACTCAGATTTGCACCACTCGTGAGTGGAGAAAGGAGGCTGCCTTTCTCTCTCTTGTCTGTCGCATCTTTTCGGTAAGGAGTAGTCCTCCCGGTAACCAAGTGAGCTGCTCGCGGTTGCATTAAAGTGAACAAGATTCTTTTTGGGGTGCCACAGCTTAGAAGGAGGCACTTATTATTCTCAGTTGATTCACCCTTTTAATTCCTAGTAGGGTGAAGTACAAGTCATTAAAACCCCCAAGCCATTAAACTGTACAGGATTTTTTCTTTGGACAATTTCCAATAAACTAAAAGTCAGGCAAGGGCGGTCAAACAGAGGTTAACTTGAAGCGTTCTGAATCTCCAAGGAATGTGTCCTCCCCTCTAAGAGGATTCACTGTTTCTCCACAAAAGTGACTCTGAGAAAAGGGTCTGCTTCTTAAAGGCCGAGGGTCTTGTGTTTACCTCCAGGATCAGAATTCATAACTTCTTACAGGATTCAGAGATTTCATGATGGTTCCAAATGGGAGGAACCGCAGAAGCCTTCTTATCCAATTCTCTTGTTGTATAGATGAGAAAACTGAGGTTTGGGGGTGTTTCTTTGGTTGTTGTTGTTTTGTTTTTTTTGTTTTTTTCAAAATAATCAGGACTAAAACAAAAATCTAGGCCCAATACTGCTCCAAAAGTCCTTTCCACTCTTCCACACTGCACTGAGCACAATTGAGTTCCCTCAGTTGAAGGAACTCAGGTAGGTGAGGAATTCAAAGAGTTGTCTCATCAAACAGACTAACTATACTTCCCACTAAGCAAGAGAAACCAAATTTGAGTTATTTCCAGAAATAAGCCCAAGAGATAGGACCAAGACCACTCTTAGCTGTGCTTCCCTTGCCTCCGTAAATATGGAAGACAAGGGCCAAAAGCAATGACTGTTCTAGCCATAGACTGTCCTTCAGGCTGCCTGGCAAATGCCTGTCAGCGATTCAGGGGCCCTCAAGCAGCATAACCCCCAAGATGTTTAACCTTGAAGGTTGTTTACTGGCACGAAGCACCTGGACGAACAGCTTGGTTCCAGTCCTCCAGTGAGATGCGGTGTCCTCCCTATTAGCTTCGCTTCAAATTTAGTCTGTCAGCTTACAAGCCAATCAACTACTGCAAGGGGGACTGTGACAAATGCTGGGACACAACAGCCAACCTGCTGTGGACCTTCCTGTGTAGTTGGAGAGAAATAATCACACAAATGCAACACAAAGCGTCCAGCCTGTAATAGTGTCGCATGAAATCAAAGAAGGAGCAAAGACAGAAGAAACTGGAAGAGAAGGGAAGGCCCTACTGAGATAACGTGGTCAGAGACAGCGTCCCAGTGCCGCCGCCGATACTGACCTAAAGGATGAGGTGGAACGGCCAGTCCAGAAGCAGGGCCTGGGTGTCTCAGGCAGAGAAAAGAGCTGTGCGAAGATCTTTGGGCTGGAAAGAGCTGGGCAAGTTCAAGGAACTAAAAGGACAGCAGTACAGCAAGTGTGCAGGAGAGAAGGGGCAAGTGGCACGAGGAAAAGCTACTAGACAAAGCAAGAGCCAGATCATGCAGAGAGCCTCATGGGTCATGGTAAAGTGTTTGAATTGTTTTTGCAAAGGCAACAGGAAGCCACTGGGTGGTTTTAATCAAGGGAATAACAGTCTAGTCCACAGTTTTTAAATGTTAAACTGTGATGTGGAGAACAGTTTGGAAGAAGGCAGAAGGAGAAGCAGAGAAAATAATCAGGGGCTAGTGCAGTAATACAGATGAGACCGGATGGTGGCTTAACTCATGTAGGGAGAGTGGAGGTGGACATGAGTGAACAGTTCCAAGTTATCGCCAGCAGGTAAATACGACAGGCTTGGAGGCGGACCCAGAGTTAGGGAGTGAAAAGGCAGCATATTATTACCATTTAATGATATAAAACTAATAAATCTGGGGGCAGGTCCAAGAGTTCCATTTGGGATATGTTAAGTCTGAGAAACCTACAAAACATCTAAATTGAAATGTCAAGTACATAGTTGAATATACTACTTAGGAAATGAGAGGAAAAGTTTGGACTGGAGCTATAAATTTGGAAGTCATATACACACAGGCGGTCTTTAATGCCACGGTAAAGAATGAGATCACTTAAGGAGAGAGTTCACAGAAACAAAAGAGGACCCAGGACTAAGTTACAGAAGCACCAACTTACAGGATGGGTAGAGAAGAGACCATCAAAGGAAAACGGGGCAACACCCAGGCAGAACAAGCAGGAGCGAGGGGCCAGCTGTACTGACGCATCGAGAACAGAAAAAATTCCTGCTGAATTTTCTGGAGGTTTCTGGTGACCTTGATAAGAAAAGCTCTCGTTGAATGACAGAAGCAGAAGACAAACTGAAGAGGGCTAAGGAATAAATTGACTGTATAGATAATTCCTCCTAGAAGTGGAGAATTAGAAAGTAACCGAATGGAAAGGAAGAGTCAAAGATGGGTATTATTTTTAGGATGGAGGAATACCAGAGCTTGTTTTCAAGCTGTTGGGAATGATTCAACAG